TTTTTTTATCTCTGTTCAGGTTCCTGCAATTTATTTGATCAGAAAATGTGGCATGGTTGATATTCTTCTATATTCTTACAGCTATTTTCTAATTAAATAGTCTATTACAGAGTCCTCTCAGCTTGCTCTTAAAATATGTTAATTCTTTTTTTTATTTCCGTTTAAAGAAATTATTTCTTATATATTTGCAGCTTGTTATACGTTCCCCTAGGCCTAATAGCCGGGGCACTGGGGTCCATCATTGATCTCCCCGTGATCACAGTTATAGCCTTGTGCAAGAGTCCGTATATGCTTCTTAAAGGTTGGCATCGGTTGTTTCACGATTGCATAGGGCGTGAAGGACCGTTCTTGGAGACTATATGCGTCCCATTTGCCGGCCTTGCAATTTTACTGTGGCCATTGGCTGTTGTGGGGGCTGTGTTGGGATCAATTCTGTCGAGCATTTTCTTGGGTGCTTTTGCAGCAGTTGTAGTGTATCAGGTCGCCTTTACTTTGCTTTTATCTCTTGGTAAATAAAGTAGAGATATGCATGAAAGGGCCCTTAAGGTTTTGTTCCCACATTATACTTTCCCTTCATAAATTAAAAATTTTCTAACAAATCCACTTTAAAATTTTAAAAGGTTTTAATGGTCAACCCATTAAGGTTTTTTTATATGTTTGGTTATAATGTTAAGTTGTTGACGTTGTAAGGTTTTATATGTGTGGCTTTTTTCTGCAATCACCCCAAACCTCAGGAGCACTTTCTTAGTTAACTTCTAGATTTTAAAATATAAAATAAAAAAATCACAGTTATATTTGAAATTTATTGATATCTCTTTGATACTATTGCAAGTTGCTCCTAGTTTGTAGTTTTGAATGATAACTAGGTTTTGTTGTGAATGATTAGGCAAAACTTCAAACGTATTTTTTCGTAATTCAATCCTAAAACCTTGTGAAATGTAAGGTAAATATTGTTCTTGTTTCCTTTGTACGACTGTTGTCTCAAGAACAATTCCAATTGTTTGTTTTAAATTTCAGGAGAAATCTTTCTGGTTTGGACTTTGTTATATTGTTTCTTCTTTGTCGATATACGATGAGTACAGCAATGACATTCTTGATATGCCCGAAGGTTCCTGCTTCCCGAGGTTCAGACACTCATTTACATACATAAGTATTGTTAATATCTTGATAATCAAATATAAAATGTGGTATTAATTTGGCGTTCCATTTATTTTTTCCCTCGTTTATGTTGAAAAAATTTACAGGCCCAGATACAGAAAGAAGACCCCATCACGAACTACCTCTCATTCTGCTTCTTTCTGGAGACCCAACTCTTTCAAAAATCCACCCGCACGTGCAAATTCAATGAGCACGCCTATGCTTGAGTTGAAGCCCCTTGAGGTATGTATATTCATTTTGGCCAGACATTTATGGTAATACTCCGGTGTTAATTCTCAGAACGCACATGATTTTTGGACAATTACCTAAATGGGATAAAAAAAAAAAAAAAGATGCAAAGACCCTTTGAGATCTGTATTTGTTTTATATAATGTCGAGGAATTTCTTAATTCTTAGCTTTTTCGTTCTGTTTGGTAATTGTGCTGACCTTGCAAAGAACTTATAACCTATTCATAATCTGTGTGTAGTTAGCTGATGCCTTGTTCAAAGAGTGTCAAAGACATGGTGAAATCATGGCTTTGGAAGGTATAATTACCCTAAAAGACATTGAAGATGCAAAGAATAACAAAGACAGTGGTGGGGTAATAAGCATTGGTTTACCTGCTTATTGCATTCTTCAGTCACTCTTGCGTTCGGCAAAAGCCAACTCTAGTGGGATTTTGCTTGGTTAGTGAATCTTTTAAATGATGAAATTTTTTATAATTCTATGAGATCATTTTATATATATATATATATATAAATCTTTTGGTTGATGATGCAGGTGACAATGTTACTGAAATAACTTCCTCAAACAGGCCGAAAGATACGTTCTTCGACTGGTTTCTTAATCCTCTATTGATTATCAAGGACCAGATTAAAGCTGACAATCTTTCTCAAACGGAGGAAGAATATCTTGGCAAGTTAGTGATATTGAGTGGTGATCCTTCACGATTAAAGAATTTGAACATTGGTCCCGTACCTGAATCCGAGATTAGGCATGCCGAACTTAATGCAATTGCTCGAAGGTAAATATGATAATTTTCTCTAATTAATTTTTTTTTCATTATATCTATTCACTGCAAATCAGAAACTGAATTGTAGAATGAAAATTTTCCTTCTTACGGTCAAAGATTACGAGGGATCACTAAATCAATATCAAGATATCCAACTTTCAGACGTCGTTTCGATAGTAGCATAAAGAACATTCTAGAAGAGCTCGGTAAGAGGAATGGCAGTAGCATCAAATCCAGCACTAGTTCAAAGAACATGGGTAGATCGAAAAGTATGTTGGAACGCTTTTTTAGCCAGAAATCCTTTAAAGGCAGATCAGACGACAATGGTGCTGATCAACCGGCTCAGACAGCATCGGAGGTGGACATTGAAATCAGATAAATTGGTGCAATATCCGAGCTATCTTTTTTTTTTTTTTTTTTTTTT